GTTCCCTAATGCTTAGAGGTGTTGAACATCACTTACGGATTTATTAGCCATTCTAAAAAATGAATTAATTTTGAGACGGTTTTGTGTCGTCAGGCTTCCTTCGAAGTCACTACATAGCCAGGTCTGGCCCTGGATTCCTGATTCTCCCGCCACTACCTATCAAGTGCTGCAGGTGTGAGCTACCTTCCATGCTGTTATGTCTTCTTTGATGACATACCCATGCAAGTCCTTTGCCCATTTTAAAATCATTTTTTTGGGCAGGTGTGGTGGCACACGCCTTTAATCCCAGCACTCGGGAGGCAGAGGCAGGCAGATCTCTGTGAGCTCAAGGACAGCCTGGTCTATATAGTGAGTTTCAGGACAGCTGGGGTGACAGGGAGACCCTGTCTCAAAAAGACCCCCCCCAAAAAAAATCATTTTTTTCAAGACTGTTGCATTGTAGAGGTTGGAGCGATGACTCGGCAGTTAGGAGCACTGCTACTCTTAACAGACCCAGGTTTGGTTCCCAGCACCCAAAATTGTTTTGGTTTTTTGAGACAGGGTCTCAGTGTGTAGCCCTGACTGGTCTGGAACTTACTATGTAGATCAGGTTGACCTTGAGCTCACATATTTGCTTACCTTTGCCTCCTGAGTGCTGGAATCAAAGGTATTCACTATCCTGCCTGGATAAATATCCTAAATATAAAAAAAATTCCTGCATCCTAAGATTCTGTAAATCATCCCCATATCACATAGATGATTTGCTAATATATTCTGTTCTGCAATTGCCTTTCTACTGTGTTGACCAGGTCCCTTGACACATTGGTGTGGTCTTAGTTTACCTGTGTTTTCGTCGGTTGCCTGTGCTTTTTATGTGTGTGTGTGTGTTGCTAGCATCTATTTTCATAAGGGAGATTGCTCTGGGGGAAAAGGCAATGGAATATATGAGAAAAAACCAGAAATGGGGCCGGGAGTGGTGGCACACACCTTTAATCCCAGCACTTGGGAGGCAGAGACAAATGAGTTCAAGGCCAGCCTGGTCGACATAGTGAGTTCCACGCCAGCTGGGGCTATAGGGGGACCCTGTCTCAAAAAAAAAAAAAAAAAAAAAAAGCCATAGTGAAACTCATTACTTTGTATTGCAACTTAAAGTTCATATGAAATAGAGACTGCTCTGTGTTCCCCATGATGTCTTTTCTGGCTGTTCTCAGTGTAATGCTGGCCTGGCACAGTGACTTGGGTAGTGTTCCTTTTCTGTTTATAAGAGTTTTTGAAAGCTTGGTATTACTCTTGGCTTCGCTTTGTAGAAAGCATTTATTCTGTAACTTTTTTTTTTGGAGACAGACTTCTTGTGTATACCAGGCTGGCCTGGAACTTGCTATGTAGTCAAGGCTGAACTTTTACTTCTGATCCTCCTGCCTCTACCTCCCCAGTCCTGAGATTAGATGTGAACCACCATGCCCAGCTTATGCAATGTTGGAGAGGGAACACAGAGTCAAGGCTAAACAAGCCCTCTACCCACCAAGCTACATCCCCATTCCTATAACTTAGCTTCGTTATAGGTCTACTCAAGAAACTCTATTATCTGCAATGTATGTGAGTTTGACTTTAGTATCTACAGTTGGCCCTTGACTTTAAGATGGTCTTATGGTTTTGACCTCATCATGGTGTACAAGCACTATGAACACGCACAGTAAAACTGTTAACTTTTTTCACTTATTTTATGTGTGTGCATACACTTGGTGCCATGTCAGTGTAGGCGGAAGTCAGAGGACAACTTTCAAGAGTTGGTTTTCTTCTTCTACTGTATGGGCTCTGCGAATCAGACTTAAGCTGTCAGGCTTGGTAGCCAGAGCCTTTACCTGCTGAGCCATAGAAACTGTACTTCTGGGCTGGAGAGATGGCTCAGCGGTTAAGAACACTGGCTGTTCTTGCAGAAGACCCAGGTTCAAATCCCAGCACCCACATGGCAGCTGACAACTGTCTGTAACTCCAGTTCCAGGAGATCCAATGGCCTCTTCTGTCCTCCAAGAGCACTGTACGACACGGGCACACTTACATACATGCAGGCAATACATGCATACACACAAAGTAAAATAAAATATTTTAATAAAGTAAGAAACAGTACTTCTGATCTTGAATTTCTCCTTGACCAGTCATGCTGTACAATGTTACAATGCTGGGCAGTGGTGGTGAACCCAGTCAGTCACCTGTGTGGAGGAAGACCAGTCCATACTCTAAAGTGTGCCATGTTGTTAAGCAGGGATGGCCAGTAGGTCAGGGGTAACTGAATCAATCTCTGACTTATATTTTCAGTTTACCATGTGTGTATGGGGTGTAACTGTGCTGTAAGTTGAAGAGCATCTATACATAAAGTTTTAAAACTGACCCATCCCTATGAGAGGCACATTTAGTCATTGGCTGCTGTGCTGAGGACAGCAGGGAGCAGGGGCAGCTAGTGGGCAGCGAGGTGGTTCCTCAAAGTTATTATACTGATGCTTGGACCAGAGCACTGATGGCTGCAATCGCCAAGTCATAGCCAGATTCTAGATGACTTTTTAACAAAATTTACTTTTAGTGTGAATATGCATGTGTGGGCACAACTGTCACTGTGTGTGTGTGTGTGTGTGTGTGAGTGTGTGTGAGAGAGAGAGAGAGAGGGAGAGAGTGTGTGTGAGTATGTGTCTGTGTGAGTGTGTGTGAGAGTGTGAGAGTGTGTGTATGTGTCTGTGTGAGTGTGTGGAGAGAGAGAGAGAGAGAGAGAGAGAGAGAGACAGAGAGAGAGACAGAGAGGGAGGGAGGGAACTTGCAGGTCTCTCCTTCCATATGGGTCCCAGGGATTGAATTCAGGACATCAGGTATGGCAGCAGGTACCTTCACCCGCTGAGCCATCTCGCCGGCCCCCTGGATGCCTTTTGAAAGTTAAGTTTCAGACTGAGACACTGGATGCAAACCATGAAAACCACCGAAGAATCGTGGCTGATGCTGGACTTTTGCTTGAGCAATTGGAATAACACGTTGCCATTGATTGAAGTTTCTGGTGGAAAGACTGGGTTGGGTCATTGTGAGTTTCAGATGTTCGTTAGATAGTTAAGTGCATACAGTTGTCCAGTTGTCCAGAGGCAGCTGGATGAGTCAGTTTAGAAGAGATCTGGACTGGAGACAAACACTGACAAGTCATTAGCATATAGGCCACTGGTACAGGCACTCAGGGGCTTGCCCATATGCAAGGACCAGGGTTGTTTTTAAACTGTGGAAGGCAGCTGTTGGTACAGCCTATCAGTAACTGCTGCATACTGGAATATCCCTCACTAACCACAAAGCTGGTACATGAATACCTAGTGTCTCTTGCCCTCAAGCAGTATAATGCAGTACTGCATTTTGCCACACTTCCCAGTCTCCCTGTGGGATTAAGAACCCACTGCCCACACGGTAGGTGGTTTACCAATTGGCTGCCTTCTTCTACCCAATCTCTCTACCCCCATCTCTGACTGCTTTCACTTGAGGGAACGTGAGAGTAATTCTAAAGCTATGAGGTTTTATGAAATCAGAGGTGTGCAAAGGAGCAGGTCTGGGAAACCAGCAAGGGGTGGATGTGGGCTCACCCAGGGCCAGGTGGCCAGGACTGTAGGCATGGATGGGCAACATGGTTGGAAGGTGTGGTGGTAGGCTGTGGAGTCTAAGCTATACAAGAGGAAGTAAAGGCATGAAGGAAAGGAAGGGTGAAGGTGGCAGAACCTATGGGCTGAAATCGCAGGCTCCAGGGACTGCTTGGATTGCAGGGCTTGGTGGACAGAAAGCCGGACACTGAGACTGGCCTCTGGGGCCAGCCTGCCTTCTCATGGGAAGCTCAGGGAAAGCACCATGGGCATACTGAAATCACCCATGATTATGACGTGTTTGGAGTGACCCTAAATAGATGCTAAACCCCTCAATGACCAGGGTTGTGAGCAGGCTAGTGGCTAAGCCATACTGCAGACTAGCCTGATAAGAAAACACGGACAATGGTGCTTGCTGTTTACAATTATTGGTAAGCAGTTGATAAACCGTGTATTAGTACCACGCTCTCCTTTGACAGATAAGGTGACAGAAGCCAGAGGGTGACGACCTTGCTGAAGGCCCCTCAACCAGAAACGGTGATGCTGGTCTTTGAGCCTGGGTCATGTGCTGTTCTAAGACTCTCCACTGTGATGCCTGCTTGTGTCAGGTGTGAGGACCAGCACTGGGTGTAAAACATCTAAAAGCAGCAGAGAAAGGCCCCATTCCACCTCAAAGCCCAAGGTCACAGGGTCAGGAGGATGAAACAGTCCTTAAAACGGCTGTGTGCTGTGCACAGGTGTGGGGGAGCATCTGGAATCCGAGTGTCTGCAACTTCTCTTAGAAGACCGTGCTGGTGCTGTCTTTTGTCGGCCATGCCTCACCGTAGGTAAGAGCTTCGATTCACTGGGTGAAGACGGGGGCTGTCTACCTGGCTGTGCATGTTCATGTGCTGTTGGTCTTTACATACAGAAAGTATCTTCAGATTGAAGCACTTGCTGAGGCATGGCAATGTTGGCATTGATCAAACATGGCTCTGGGCATCTGCCTGGTGCTTGTGTTTGGCCTCAACATTGCTGACTTATGGATAGGCTTGCTTTCTGGAACCCTCCTGCATGCTTGGGATAGACACTCTGGTTACTGTCTGGTCTCCTGTGGGACTAGCACCTCTTCCGGAATGGCCCACGGCCGAGCCTCTGTCAGGGTTATGGAGCTGGCTGAATGGTCTTAGTCTGTCAAAGCTTGAAATGAGGGACCTTGGAGCAAAAAGGACCCGGACAGCTGGAGTTGTGGCTCTGCTGCCTGGGTCCCCCAGGCCTGGGTGAGGGTCAGGGACCCCCATCTCAACCCGGCTTCTTCTTGTGAACAGACCAGGACAGAAGCGAGGTCCTTCTTGGTCCTCTAGGGCAGTAATAACTCAGATACAGAGCTGATGACATGCAGTTTCCTAGTGCTGCTGGATAAACGACCACGCATGCAGCAGCTTACTTAAAGAACACATTTATTTTCCAACAGTTCTCCAGGTCAGAAGTCCAAAATCAGTCCCACTGATCTAAAGTCAAAGTGTCAGCAGGACTAGCTTGTTCTGCAGGCTCTGAGGGAGAATCTATTTCTTTGCCCATTTTGGCTTCTAGTGGCTGCCTCAGTCCTTGGCTAGGAGCCCTTCCTATTCCAAATGCACTGGCCCAGCCTGCACCCACAGCCGCCTTCCCACATCTACCTGCCTCCTGCCACTTTTATTAGGACACTCATAATTACTCCTGGGACCCTCCAAGACAGTGTACCCAAGTCAGGGTTTTTAACTTTCATCATGCCTGCAAAGACCCTTTGAAGGCATCCCTTACAAACCATGTAAGGCAGCTCAGTTCTAGGAAGGATGACCTGGGTATCAGGCCACTGTTGGCTGAGCAGACACCTGGGACCTTAAGGCATAATACTCTTCTGGACCTTGGCTGAGAAAGGTAGTCTAGAACTCAGCTTCTTAAACTGGCCCACCACCCCAGAATATGGGTCACCCCCAAACTGGGTAACAGTAAAGGTTTTTGACACAGCAACCCAAAATTCCAAAACCAAAGTAAAACAAATCTGAGGTGCTCACAGCACCACTTGTTTCTGCTGCCTCGGGCAAAGCCTTGGGGATGAACAAATGGTCAGTGAACGTAAGAGCCCAGAGAGTTAATGCTGCACTTCACGATCTCTGAGCATTGGTCAATGTTCTTCTTGATCCTGTAGAATTTCTCCACGTACTCAGACCGTCCTAAGAGCTCCACAAAATCTTCATCGTGAGTGATTATCAGAAGCTGGAAGTTACGCTGCTGTGAGCGACTTTTTATTATCCTGAAACAATATGTGTAGACACCGGTCACTAAGGGACATCAATGTAGAAAAGGCACTGCAAACCCTGTCAGACACACGAACAGCTGTATGGCAACCAAGCTCATCCTGTGCTGTGTGTGATGGGGCCTCTGGCTGCCCTGCAGGAAGTTGGGGAGGGCTGGGGTGGCCTGGGGCCTTCGACCTAGCCAGGTAGGAGTCCTGTCTCCTTCCTACATAGTGGGGATGCGTTGCTTGATTCTTCGTCCAGACCTGGTTTTAAGGCTGGTAAGAACTCAGGGGAAGGATTTGGACCAGTGTCCCAAGATTAAGAAGACCACATCCAATCAGATGGAAGTATTGTAGGAATACCCAAACCACTCAACTGTGACAGTCAGACTTGCTCCTCTGCCTAGACTCTCCTGACCTGATGCTAATTTTCTCTGGAATGAAAATGTAAAAATACACGTAGACAACAGGTAGGGGAATTAACACTGTCTTCTGAAGAGCTGGGTCTACCCAGAATTCTGCTACCACTAGTCACTAGATGCATCAGTGCTATGACACACAGGAGCCTGAGTGGGTGTACTGGGAACATTTTTGCTCATCATCAACGTGCTGAGGTACCAGCTATGAGTGAGATGTGGAAGAGTTCTAACTAACCACTATTTATCACTTGCTTGGAGCTGGATGCAAGAAAAGTTTCAAAAGCAAAAGTCCTTCTTTGCTGGTCCCCAGGACTACCAAGAACAAGCTGAAGACACTGTTGCCACTCAGTTCTGCTGGTCCAACCTGTGCTGTCAAGAGTCTTTCTGGAGCCAGCAGTGCTCGAAATACCTCTTCTTACCTCAGAGTGAGCACCTTCTCCTGTCAGCACAGTGCATAAACAAAAGCTGCCCAACCTTGGAGCCTCTCACACAGGTGAATGGGGTAAACGCTGTGTACAACTCACCCTCTTGGTAACAATCTGCAAACTGGTAGCAATTGGTATGCTCACCAATTCACAGTATGCTTTCTGAATAACAGCTGTCATTCCTCAGTCAGCATTTGACATGTGCAAGGTGTACCCTGTCCCAAACCCACTACCATCACCTACAGACGCCGGAGAACATGGATTCCTCTGTTCAACGTACCCTGACAAAGCCCAGAACTCCTCACCCTGACTTTCCCAATGAACACACTCTGGGGGAGGCAGGATGTGTCTGGGGCTGCGACTCAACAGTTTTACTATTGAAAGACAAAGTACAGAGCCGGGTCCCACCTGGCCTCCTGAAGGAGGGCACACCCAGGGAGGGTTTACACCTCAGAACTTTATTGGTATTCCTTAGAAGACATTTCAAACTGCTCCAAACGTCCCCGAGATACTTACTCAACCAGAGCATGTGCGAGAGATTCAATGTTTTCACGGTCAAGATTTGTTGTGGGCTCATCCAAGGCAAGGATGCCACAGTTCAGGCAGAAGGTTTCAGCCAGTGCCAGGCGGATGATGAGAGAAGCCAACACCTGTGGAACAGTCATGAGTGAGTTGCATAATAGACTCTTTAGAAGGGGAAGGTGGTGCCGGGAGTGGTGGCACACACCTTTAATTCCAGCACTCAGGAGACAGAGGCAGGCCGATTTCTGTGAGATCAAGGCCAGCCAGGGCTACATTATGAGGCACTGTCTCAAAAAGAAAACAAACAAACAAACAAAATACCACAAAAGGCTGGTGGGGGACAGGTAGGGTCATGTCATAGGTCTCTGATGTTAGAAAATTCCCGTAGGGGAATGGGGAAGCCTAGTACCATAAGCAGAATCTCATGCTTCTCTGGAAGGTGAACAGCCAAATCCTCTTAGCCCACCATCTACACTAAAATAAAATACTGGAGACTCCCCCATTCCCTGCACACCAGCTGCATCAAAACCAGAACCACAGGCTAAGAGTAGATGAGCCCCCATTTAGCTGTAATTGGTCATTTTAATAAAAGTCTAGGATTATTAACCTGAAAATTTGATCTGGCCCTTATAGCTTCCGAATGATGCAACTTGTTAGAAAATGCAGGTGCAGACATTTTCCCGAGATTCAGAGTAACTTTGGCTCTTGTAGTGCCATGTTCCATCCTGCATGTAGTCTTGTCCAAAAGAGAAACCAGGCCCTGTGTTCTAACCCATCCCCAAGTGTCCATATGTGTAATTCTGTGAGCAGGAGGAGTCAGGGAGTGGGTACAGAAGCAAGGTTCTATCTATACTTACTTGCAAGGAATCCAAGTCATAAAAACCACTAAGCACCTTCATGGTTAATCAAAATCAAATATTAAAACTCAGACCCAGCTGAAGCCCTCTTCCAGATGAAGGGACACAGCCAAGAGTATGGCCCAATTCTGGGAAGCCCAAACTCCTCCGTGTGAGCTCTGACCTCAGCTCCTGATTTCACGAGCTGGTGGTCAGGGCACCACACACTGTTGCTTCGGCGTCCAGTGCAGGCCAGCACACTGAAGTCTGTTGTCCCCTTCCTGCCTTTGAACCTCACTGCTGCCAACTCTGCCACCACACACAGGCTGGTCAACCCACTACAACAAACCATTCCCTCGACACCTCTCCCAGCTTCCTTCCAGCACACCGGGGAAGTCCTCACTGCCAGCTAATTTCCATTATTTAAGAGTAGCTACAAGAAATCGACTTTTGCTTATTATGTATTTTGCAAGTATTTTTAGTTTGGAGAGACCACGTTTCAAACTCATAATGCCTGTGAGGCAGCAGCAAGGCGAGGTGGGTGCCGACTACAGCTTACAAGGTAGTCATTTCTGCAGCTGTGACTGAGACAGCAACCCACACTGCCTCAAGTTGGGATCAGCTGTCTGGGTTGGCAACACGGCTGAGAACGCTGTGTTCTTTAAGCAAAAACTGCAATCATGGAAACAATGTGGGCACCTTCCCTAAGCCTGTGAAATTTTATGAAAATCTGCTTTTAATCTGAGAGGAGAAAGCTCAGAACTTGCAGGCTCTCTGGTACAAATCTGTGCACGGTGGAAGGCCTTGTCTGGTTCCTCAGACGGGTCTCATGTTTCTGACATTTAAAAAAAAAATTATTTTTTTTTGAGACAGGGTCTCCCTGTAGCCCCAGCTGGCCTTGAACCCACAGAGATCCGCCTGCCTCTGCCTCCTGAGTACTGGGATTAAAGGCGTGTGCCACCATGCCTGGCTTAAAAATATTTTATTATTTTTATTTTGTATGTATGCATGTATTGCCTGCGTGTAGGTGTGTGCACCCATGTCGTGCAATGCCTGCGTAAGACAGAAGAGGCTGTTGGATCCCCTGGAACTGGAATTACAGACAGTTGTTAGCTGCCATGCGGGTGCTGGGATTCGAACCCAGGTCTTCTGCAAGAACAGCCAGTGTTCTTAACCACTGAGCCATCTCTCCAGCCCCATGTGTCTCATTCTTAAACACTGTTCCTTTACCAGATTTTTCTGTGTTCTAACTCTACCTATGGTCTTCCTTCAGGGACCTCCCATGGAGCCAATGGCCTGACTTAATCACTGAGTTTTATCTATGTAGTGTTGGGGCAGAGGCCCTGCAGTTATCGACGCCTCTGACCAGCAGAGCTCTCTATTAGATGGTCTGAGACCCAAGCCAAAGGCTGGGCTGGCATGATGGTGAATAGGAACCAGTCCGGTGTGGGCTGCCTTCTCAATGAGACTTACGTATTAGAATGGCATCTGGCCCCTCAAGCTCTATTTGCTAGTGTTCTTTCTTTGTTTATTTCAAGACAGAGTTTCATGCAACCCAGGCCAGCCGCAAACTCACCTTGCAGCCAAGGACGACCCTGAATTTCTAACTCTCCTGCCTCTGCCTCCCAAGTGCTGGGATTACAGACCACTCCTGGTTTATGCAGTGCTGGGAGTTGAACACAGTGCTTGTTCATGCTAGGTAAGCACTCTCCCAACTGAGCCACAGTCTTAGTCCTGATAATGTTATTTGTGATTGAAAGTATAATTATTATTAATTTTGAAACATACTTGCCCATTCTGATACTGGAATGCATCTTCCTGGCCTGTGAAACAGTGGTATGTCTTATAACTAACACAGCAGTGATCTCACTCTGAGAAGTGCTGTGATAGGACAGAGTTCAGCTCTCCTTCTACACTAACTTGTCTTAAAAGAAGCTTCAAGGCTTTTTTTCCTTAAAAGTCAGCTTCACAGAGCACTTCGGGGAGTGGTGGCTGGAACCAAGAGGGTGCAATGCGGAGAGCTGTGTGTACCTCACTTCACACAGTGGCTAGGAGAGCTGTTGAGGCTTCTCTACTGTTTAAGGGTAGACCTGGGGTTCTGTAGCACTGGGTCTGTCCTTCAGTCCTTGGTGTGAGCTGGCTCCCTAGACTCCTGAGACACCTGCCTTTTGTCCGGCGCTGCACCGTCCTCGCATGTCCAAAGCTGTGTCTCCCTTCAGCATCACCACTCGGTAGTTATAATTCCGCCTTTTATCAGAAGCTGATACATTTTCGTCAGCATCTGACCGAATTTCGATGTATTCAATATCTGATACAGAAAGAATAATATTTTAGGGAACCTACACTGCGACTTTCTGTCATTTACAAATATCATCAAGGAAGTTGAAGAGCAACAGTGAGGCGGATGTCCCTTGGAAAGCACTGGCTGGTTTCCAAACTCTGGCCAAGAGAACCCAGGAGCCTGGTGGTCTGGCAGGATGCAGCCTGGCCCTCAACCTCAGCTCCAGCTCCTTCTCTAAGGGTGTCCTTTGGTACTTTCCTTATCACAGCTGGCTCTCGCCCCATCTATGTTTTAACAGAATCCATTATGTCATCAGCTAAATATGTCTGCTGTAGCCAAATATATGAGCTCTTCGGAACAGAAACTTTGTATTTTCTTTTTGCTACAAGATGCTGTCAAGATAACAATTCTTAGAAAAATCTCAAAGAAATGCTCAGGAAAAGGTTCAAGAAGGCAGTGCTGGTATGATGAGGTCACACGGGGGAGGGGGGGTGGCCAAGGGCAGCTCTGGAACAAGTATTTGGAACACGTCATGTTAATTACCTTGTCCACGATAGGTACTTCGCCACAGATCACGAATAACCTTATTGATTTCTTCCATTTTCATACTGTGAAACTTCATTATTGCTCTGGAAAACGAAGCCATTGGTATTTGGTATAGTGTGTGTTATTTGTAGAATAACTGAATGCAATAGCATATGTTAAATTATACAAATACGGAACAGTACTAATAACTTTCCCAACACTTTTGAGTGTAAGAGCAGACTATGGAAAAGGCCAGACAAGAATTTTCCAGGCAGACAGTGCTGTCTCACTAGCACTGAAAGGGACCAAGCACACTTTCAGTGCCCGAGTCCTTGTACTTCTCCATCTCATGCAATGACTCTTCTCAGAAAACAACTCTTTAGTAGGCTCCTTCCTAGACTATGACGATCCACTGCAGGGGCCTCACTGGTGCCCACCTCTTACAGGAAGGAGGCAGACCCATAAGCTAAAGCTTGGGGGTGTGTTCAGCCAGGGGCTGCGGTCCACAGGAACATAAGCACATCTCTGGAACTTTGGCCCCTCCTTTAGTACTGTGAAGGTTTATCCAGCCCCTTAGTTTGCTTTGATTCCTCGGATCTGTGACAATCTCACCAACCAGAAGGTGGCTTTGGCTAGGAGAGGATGATGTATTTAGAAGTCGAATCCTTTTCATCAGACTCAAAAAAAGCTCTGGTTGTAAATGTGTGCATTAACTTCCATTTGGGGTATGCCCCTCCCTGCAATTCTTCTTTGTCTTTTTGAGACAGGGTCTCCCTGTAGCCCCAGCTGTCCTGGAACTCACTATGTAGACCAGGCTGGCCTTGAACTCCCAGAGATCTGCCTGCCTCTGCTTCCCAAGTGCTGGGATTAAAGGCATGCGCCACCACGCTCAGCTCGCAATTCTCTTTTAAAGTAGTCCCTAAACACTAAAAGGAGAAGTGTTTATAAAATCCAAAGCCAGCAGTGCTGGTAGTCGGGATGTGAGCTTAGAGCTAGCAGCAAGTCACTCCAGTGCTAAGGCAAACTGGTAGCCGTCACCATGTAAAGGATGTTGAGGTGGACTCCCTTCCATCAGCAGGCCTCTTATCTGATAGACACACAAAAAAAGAAACTCAACGTAATGCTATGCCTCTGCAGAATCATTTCATGATCTTCTGATCATCAGCCAAAGAGAAAGAAATGACTCAACATAAATACATCTGAAATATCAGATGGAGGCCTGCTGCAGTTGTAAAGCCTGGAAAACCCACAGCACTTCACCGAGACGCCATCCCCACTTCACCCTCACCCGGCCTAACACTTCATGCTTCTTTCAAAAAAGAGACAAAGCGTGTTTCCTAAAAAACAAACAAAACCCCCCCAAACAGCAACAACATCCTAAGTAAAACCAAACTTAGTAGTAAGGACAGTAAAAAGAATACATAGCCAAGTGGTATGAAATTATTGTACTGCTGTGGATGGAACCAAGACTAAGCACATGAGTGACATTTCGGCATACTGAGTGGTACTGAACCCTAGAAAGCAAAACTAACACAACAGGAAGAAAGTTCCAGATAGCTTACTGCAGTCACAGATAAAAGGAAAAAGATTATCAAAGAAACACTTGATAATGCTGTATATAACACTGAGTTTTGATAAAAATCTCAAGTGATAAATGGAAGAAAATGTCTTTACTTGGACAAAATTCCTCTCAGTTATTTATAGCAAGCAGCAACTATGATTTACCAGAGACAGAAGCATTCCTCCCACAGGGCAGGAAAGATAACCCCATCATGGTTCTCTGGAACAGTCTTGCGGAGACCCCCAGCAGTCTGGTAGAAAGAGAAAGAAGGAGGCCTGCTACTGTTCTCATAAGTGGGCTAACTGTGCACCTAGAAAATCCAGGCAAACCAACTCAAATACTAAGATTATCAAGAAAATCAGAAATGAACTTACAGAGTTCTATTATCGTGCAGCTAATACCACAAGGAAAAACAGTAAGAAAGAAAAAGATCCTAGGCCTGGAGAGGTGGCACAGTCAGTAATATATTTGCTGTACAAGTCTGAAGACCTAACTCAGATCCCTAGCGCCCATGTGAAAAGCAGTGATGTGCATGTGTAATCCTGTCACTGGGGAGATGGATAAAGGACCCCAGAAGCTTGCTGGCCAGCAGAACTGAGGTGCTCCAGATTTGGTGAGAAACCACCTTTCAAAAAATAAGGTAAAGCTGGGAGTGGTGGTGCATGCCTTTAATCCCAGCAGGCAGATCTCTATGAGTTCAAGGCCAGCCTGGTCTACATAGTGAATTACAGGCCAGCTGGGGCTACAGGGAAACCCTGTCTCAAAAAAGACAAAAAAAAAAAAGAAAAAAGGATGGCTTAGTGGTTAAGAGGACCTGGGTTCAAATCCCGGCACCCACATGGTGGCTAACAACTGTTCTTAACTCCAGTTCCAGGGGATCTGACACCCTCTTCTGGCCTCCTCAGGCATTGCACACATAGGTACACTTACACACTTGCAGACAATACATTCATACACATAAAATAAAAATAAAAAAATAAAGTGAAGAGTGATTGGATGCCAGATGTTGACCTCTTCCCTCCTACAGGTACATGTGTATCCACACATACACGGGCACACATGTATTACCGCCCCCATACACACAAGGATCTTATTCACAATAGCAATAAAAACTGTAAAATATGCAGAGAAAGAACTCAGGAGGCAGAAGCAGGTGGATCTCTGTGAGTTCAAGGCCAGTCTGGTCTACATAGTGAGTTCCAGGACAGCTGGGGCTATAGAGAGACCCTGTCTCAAAAAGACCAAAAAAAAAAGCAGAAAGAAATCCAAAGAGGTTCAGGATCTAGAGGAAAAAACTGTAAAATTTTCAATAGGACAAAAAGACCGTTAAACAGAAGAGACAAACTGAAGGGTCCAAACAGATATTAATTCTTCCCAAGTAACCTATAAACAAAAGTAATCCAAACAAAAACCTCTCAAGATTTAAAGAATTCAGGAAGTCTGTAAGCAGACTCTACAGTACTGACAGAAAATGTCCAAGAATGGAACTATGGTGCCGAGATGGGAAGAAGCCCAAAAGGCTGGTGGACACAGAACAGATCCAGAAATGGACATGCCCCAATAGCACTGGAACTGCAACATCTCAAAGCCATAGAAAAACTTCAATATAGTTGAAAAGAAGAAAAATTAAATACTACCTTGATCATACTCCAAATAAAATTCAAGAGACTGAGCAGACTGAACATTAAAGGGGCGGGGAGATGTCTCTGAGGGTAAAGCACTTGTGGCATAAGCACAAGGCCCTGAGTTTGAATTCTCAGAACCCATGAATAAAACCTGTCACTGTGAGCCGGGCGTGGTGGCGCATGCCTGTAATCCCAGCACTTGGGAGGCAGAGGCAGGTGGATCTCTGTCAGTTCGAGGCCACCCTGGTCTATAGAGTGAGTTCCAGGCCAGCCGGGGCTGTGGCATGTCCGTGGTCCCAGCTCTCCTAGCAAGGTGAGGGAGCAGAGGCAGGAGAATATCCACAGAGTCAAGGGCTGGCCAGCCTTGGCACACGCACCTGTGAACAAGAAACCCTGCGTCAAACAAAGTGGAAGGCAAGGTCTGACGCCCAAGCTCTCCTCCGACTTCCACACGTGCTATGGGCACGCACAGTCCTTTCCCTCCCCCAAGACTCAGAGAAAAAGCTAAAATAAACCAGGGTGGGGGCACACACCCACAGTAGCAACTATTCAGGATGCTGAGTCGGTTAATCACTGGAACCCAGGAGTTTCAGGGGAACCTGGGTAACACAGCAAGTCAAACAAAATTATCAGAAGAAACATAGTTTTGTAATTTTGGGGCTGAGAAAATACACAAAGTCACAATGATACACGAAGAAAATTAAAGGACAAATGGTAAACTGGAAATAGGCAGAGTGCTTAATATCTAGAATCTTTAAGAAAAGTGGCACAAGCCGGGTACGAGCGCACGCCTTTAGTCCCAGCACTCAGGAGGCAGAGGCAGGCGGATCTGTGAGTTCAAGGCCAGCCTGGTCTACACAGTGAGTCCAGGACAGCTGGGGCTACAGGGAGACCAAAGAAAAGTGGTACAAATCACAAAAAGGCACCCTAGAGATATGAAGAGAAAAGTATGAAAAACCCAAACATGAAAAGGCTCATTAGTGAAGAGGGAAGTAAAAATGACCATAAGAGCATTTTTTATACAACTGACTAGCAAAAACAACGGACAGTAATAGCACAGCCCGTGGACAGGGTGAAACGAACACACCCTCCTCATATACGAGTGGAAACACACATTGCATCAGTGCTTTTAGAAGGCAATTTGGCCTAAACAAGTTAAAATGATCATAGCCTCTGACCTAGTGTTTCGTTTCTGAGAAGTTATCTTTCAGGCTATCTGCACGAGAGTGCAAAGTCACACACTGCCGCCTAATCGGTGGTACCCAAAATGTAGTTTCTAGTATGTCTGCAGTTAAAACAGGTAAATTTATTTTGTGGATTATACAGACATTGAAAGTAACAAAAGTATATTAAGCCAGGCACGGTGGCGCACGCCTTTAATCCCAGTACTCGGGAGGCAGAGGCAGGCGGATCTCTGTGAGTTCAAGGCCACACTGTTGGTCTACACAGTGAGTTCCAGGGCAGCTGGGGCTACAGGGAGACCCTGTCTCAAAAAGACAAAAAAGTAACAAAGTATATAAAGTGAGGAACACAGAAGATTTTACTCTGTGTTAAGTGAACAACAAAAAACCAAACAAAAGCCCCCAGAAAAATAACTTCAGAGTGATATGATCCAGGGAAAGTCAAAGACAGTACGTGCTGTGTGCTGTATGTGAAGGCACTGTGAGGGACAGGACGTTGGCAACGGCAGCACTCTACTGAGGAGGTGCTAGCCACTGCCAGTCTTGAACCTGTCCCCCTACAGTGTTCTATGACCTCAGACACGAAGGAGGGAGAAGCATAATTACCTGTAACACAAGGTACAAACAGGATGGGTTGAGAGGAAGGAAAATCACATCTGTTTGGGAAAGACTAACATTCCAAGGAGCAAGAACATTTTTCTCTTCATATTTCTCTCTTCACATCTCCAGGAAAACAG